CACAGAATTATGCTAAAATAAATACAATATATGTGATACCTTGTTTCGAGTAATGCCCGGAACCAAACTAGATACAAAATTTAAATGTTGTTGCCTGACATTCTGTGTATACTTAGAAACATGTTACACCTTTTGTGGCACACTGCTCAACCAAAAGTGTGAGTGTAAAAAGGTATGCTCTTTACAAGAGTGCAGCACCAGTGATAATAGCAGTTCCTTAAGAAAAAAAAAGGTAAAATAAAGAAAATTGTACAAGGGAGCTCCTTTGAAATCCTGCTTCTGCTCTCTGCTTAGCTGTTGCTGGCTGCAGGCCCTGCTTAAAGCAAATCCTAACCAGCTGAAGTTTGTGAGTTTTCTTCCATTGGGAGAACTTTCTGTTTTATTGCTGTTTTTCTTCCTTCCCCCTTCCCCCGCCCCATTCCCTCTCTCCTTTCCCAGTGTGGGAAGAGAAGGGGAACTGAGTTGTTCTTTTTGGGTTTTGGTTTGTTTATTTTCTTTCCCTCTGACATACCAGGAGAGTGTTGTTTTTCCCTATCCCACATGGCAGTGACCTGGGATCCCACAGCGCCGCCTGGTGACGGGCACGGGACATTACAAGTCCTGCACCTCCAGTGATCCAACAGCGCCACCTGGTGGCTACTATAGGACACTACAAGTTCTACATCTCCGGTGATCCAACAGCACCACCCGGTGAATGGTACAGGACATTGCAAGTTTTGCATCTCCAGTGACCCGACAACCCCCCCTGCTGACTGTGGTTGGAACTGCACCAAAGGGTGCAAAAAAAATTGAACTGTTTTACTCTTCCTTTTGCCAGTTTATCGGTTTGTTTTGGAAGGGGTTATTTGTGGGTATAGGAGTGTTGTTTGGTTGTTTTATTGTTTTTTTCTCGTGTTTCTGTTAATACACATATACTTTTTAATAAAGGGCTGCTATTTTTCCCTTTTCCATAATTTGTTTTCCTTCAATTGGAGCCTATTAATTTTGGATTTATAATTGCCTAGAAAGAGAAGTTTGGGTCTTTTCTCTTAACCCATCCTCAGCAAAAGACCCTTGTCTCATTTAAACTGGGACACTAGGTCGAGCTAAGCCCATGGACGGGCTCGGTAAAGCCGGGCTCGGCAAAGCTGGGCTTTGCAAGGCCGGGCTCGGTCAGGCCTGGCTTAGTTAAGCCAGGCATAGCTAGGCCGGGCTTAGCTAGGCCCATCTTAGCTAGGCCAGGTTTAGCTAGGCCTGGCTTAGCTAGGCCGGGTTTAGCAAGGCTGGGCTTAGCTAGGCCAGGTCAGCAAGGCCAGGCTTAGGAAAGCTGGGTCAGCAAGGCTGGGCTTAGGAAAGCCGGACTTGGCAAGGCCGGGCTCAGCAAAAGCGGGCTCGGCAAGGCTGGGTTAGGCAAAGCCGGGCTTGGCAAAGCCGGGCTTAGAAAAGCTGGCTTAGCAAGGCCTGGCTTAGCAAAGCTGGGCTCAGCAAAGCCGCCTCAGCAAGGTCGGGCTCAGCAAAGCCGGGCTTGGCAAAGCTGGGCTCGGCAAAGCCGGCTCAGCAAGGCCGGGCTCAGCAAACCTGCACTTGGCAAACCTGGGCTCGGCAAAAAATTAGCAGCAGAAAGCTGGAGTCAAAATAATGACTTATGTTTCAGACAGTTTTGTAACAACTTTGATGATTTTTTTTCTTTATGGGTTTAAAATGTCACCTTCTTTTGAACTTCTTATGAGGAGACGGGAGATAACAAAATTCTCACTTGTCGCAGTGAGGCGGGATTTTATGCTGAAATAGCAGGGAACTAGACTGATAGGCAATCAGGTGAATACTCATGAGGGCCAGGAACATTTTTTGCTTTGCGCTGGGAGGGTGCCATGCCCAACCCCCAGCTTTTCAGGAAGTTTTGACTCACAGAATAAAGCAAACACACATTCTGGGAGCTGCATTAATTCTGAGACTGAAAAAGAACAGGCTGCTTAGTGCCAACAACACAAACACAGTGAAGAGAACCCAAGCAGCAGGTGGTGAACTCTCTGGGATGGAGACTGTTCCCTTTCCCTTACAGTGACCAGCCCTTATGGTGAATCCAGCTCTACTAAGAAAACCAAAACACCCCGTACCTAAATGTTCCTCCTTGTTCTCCACAACCTTTAGCACAGTGCCGGGGCCAAAACGTTCAGCTCTAGCCTCCCACGGCGCCAAGACCCTGTCTCCAGGAGTGAGACGCTGTCTCCTGGCATCCTCGTAGTGGAGAATGTCGTAGATAGGTGTTTCCTGCAGGCGGAGCTGTACCTTGCCTTTCCGAGCACGACTTTTGTCAAACTCAATTACAAAGCATTCCCTGGAGCCCTACAAGAGTAAAACATGCGGTTTGCAAGGCAGACATCTGGGTCCAATTAACGGCCAAACATTAAGCGCTAAGAGGGAAGTGGCAGAAATCCCAGGAAGCAGGACGTGATCTGGAAATGCAGTTTTCCTCTTCTACTAGATTTTTCACTGCACTGCATCCATATTGGAATTTAAAAGTAAATAAAACGCTGGGGTTTAAGGGGGCTCACAGCCCTTCTCTTCCTTTCGCTTTGGATTTAGATTTTAGTGAAAACACATTTAGCGTGCTAAGGCAGAACTTCACCAGGAAAACCTCCCACAAGAAAGTGAGTAGCCAAAAGAAACTGCTACACATGATGCAGTTCTCTACACAGCAGTCAGAAGGGTAACAAACCAGTAAAATGTCATAACTGTCAAAAATTGAAATGTTTTAATTTAAGCCTTCAGCAATGGGTATGGGGAAGATCTATTACTGAAATCTCAGCCTTGTCTGCAGATCTGTGAGTGCATTTACACAAATAATACTGTCCCCATCTGTACCACTCCACACTGGAGCTTAGAGACTCACCTACACTAACAGTTCAGTTAAACAAGCTGCAAACTGTGAATGAACTGGGTTTTTAAAGAAAGCCTGCATCCAAAATCACCCCGCAATTCCCAGAAACATAGATGGGAGAGAATGAGGAAAGCTCTCAGTTTGGTAAAGAGGAAGTGAGCCCTGGAGACAGACATTTTGGATTAATAGTTGCTACTGGGCAGAAGCAGACAACAGGGATAAGAGACCTGTTCTGTTTGTTTCTGAATAAAACCTTTTTATAACTACAAAAATGGACTGATCTCCAGGCTCCTTCTTCTTGCAGGGTTCCTCACAGTAAACAGCCAGTCAGCACCAGGTGATCAGGTAACAGATTAAAGTAGGATGTGGGTACACAACAGGGGTTATGAAGTGCCCTGTATCACAGGAGAGCCACCCCACAACAAGGACATGTGACTGGTGAGGAATGAGGACAACAGGGAAAAAAACCCACCAATGCTCTTACAGCACAGTTCCCAATAAATAGTTACCTTCACCTCTTGGGCAATGTGGCCCAGGTAGTAATAGCCATCAGTTTCTCTCCTTGCCAACACACGAGCCCCCCTCACTAAACGGGAAGCCTCTGGGGATGAATCAATGAAATGACTTTTTGCTGAGGGTATCGAGGGTGCACAAAGAGGACACAGGTTCCATGCACAAACAGGAAAGCTGTGGAAAAGAAAAATACAAGAAGTAATAAAGACCTTGGCAACAGAACTTCTGCAACTTACTGCAATGAAAACAAACTAAATCAATATGGACCACACCCCCCCCTGCAATAACTGTCTTTGATTCCTAGCTTTTCTCCTCTCTG